GCATGCCTGTAGTCCCAGCTACTCGGGAGGCCGAGGCAGGAGGATCGCTTGCGCCCAAGAGTTGGAGGTTGCTGTGAGCGAGGCTGACGCCACGGCACTCTAGCCCAGGTGACAGAGCCAGACTCTTGTCTTAAAAAAAAAATAATAAAAATACAAATAAAATGCCTGCCCAGCAGATAACGTGCAGCTGGAACTATCCTGGACTTCAAGGCTATTCTTGCTTCGCTCCTGACCACACGTCTCTGTGTTTGGAAGAAGTAGATTAGAGTAGGACATAGACTCAGTGTTCTCGTTTTATACATTTTATCTCTAATTTGTGTGCTCAGCTAGGTCTGCTTCTAACCTAGGGTTTAACGTGCTCATCTTAGAAAAATTTTGTAGCCGTCTATTCTTTTTCTTTTTTTTTTTCTTTTTTTTTGAGACAGAGTCTCACTCTGTCGCCCGGGCTAGAGTGCTGTGGGGTCAGCCTCGCTCACAGCAACCTCCAACTCCTGGGCTCAAGCGATCCTCCTGCCTCAGCCTCCCCAGTAGCTGGGACTACAGGCATGCGCCACTGTGCCCGGCTAATTTTTTTTCTATATATTTTTAGCTGTCCGATTAATTTCTTTCTATTTTTAGTAGAGACCGGTTCTCACTCTTGCTCAGGCTGATCTCGAACTCCTAACCTCGAGTGATCCTCCTGCCTCGGCCTCCCAGAGAGCTAGGACTACAGACATGCACCACCATGCCTGGCTAATTTTTTCTATATTTTTAGTTGTCCAGCTAATTTCTTTGTATTTTTAGTAGAGATGGGTCTCGCTCTTGCTCAGGCTGGTTTCGAACTCCTGACCTCGAGCGATCCTCCCGCCTCGGCCTCCCAGAGTGCTGGGATTACAGGCCTGAGCCACCGCGCCCGGCCAGCCGTCTGTTCTTGTAGACAGAATTAGGTGAGGAAACCTCTGGCCGGTGCAGGTTCCTGAGGGTCTCCGCAGCCATGAGCCCCACCCGGGGCGGCCCACACTCACCTGGGCAGGTTTGATCACCACGGTGTTCCCCGCGGCCAGGCAGGCGGCTGTCTTCCAGGACAGCATCATCAGGGGGTAGTTCCAGGGGATGACGATGCCGCAGACCCTGCCGTTCAAAAGAAGCTGAGGAAGCCGGCTTCTGTCCCTCTGCTCCGCCGGGCGCCTACAGCGCCCCCGCCAGCTCCTGCCTCCCTCCCTCGCAGAGTGGGCCGCCCACCCCCAAAGCCGGGCTCCCGATCGGGCACACGATGTCCCCCCCGGGAGGCAGCTCCTGCCCCCCTTTTCGGTCCCAGACGCTGCCATGCCAGTTAGCCTGGCGGTGGGCACGGCGGCGTGGGCCGCTGGACAGTTTCCCACGGGACCCGTCGGCCTGCAGAGGGGCACAGGCGGGCACAGCGGGGAACATAGGCAAGCAGGGCAGAGAGAGGGGCAGGGTGGGCATGGAGAGGTCAGGGGTCACAGAAAGGTCAAGAAGGAATGGAAAGCATCAGAGGTCACGGGGGGAGGGGCAGTGGCGGAGTCGGGAGTCTGATTGTGTCTCAGGTGTCCCGGGGACCGGCTGGAGGGTGCCGAGTGGGGCGGGGACGTGGTCTCCTGCGAGCTGGGATGCGAACGTTAGCAAGAGCTGCCTTCGCTCTTTCTCGGCGGAACGGACTTCTCCTCTCAGCCCCGCTGGCTGGGGGGGGCCTTCGTCCGACCCTCGTCCGACCCTCCTAACTCCTGCACGGCCCTTACTGCCCGGACACCTGGCCGTCACCCAGCAACGGTGCCCAGTGAGGGGGACACAATTTCACTGCCATTTAGAGACGAGTGCAGAGAGGTTAGAAACTGGCTCAGGGAAGGGCAGGTGCTGGGATTCGAACCTTGAGGTCAGGATCTAGAACATTCCCATTGAATCAAGGTCACCTGTGGTGAAGCCCACAGAGCCCCCGCGGCCACGTGACCAGGCAGAGACGGGGCGGGCTGAGATTCTGATGCGTGGTCAAGAAGGAGCCTCCTCCCTCCCTAGTTTGTGGGAGGTGCTGGGACCGGCCGGAGCAGGGGTGTTCGCACTGGGGAGCCAGAACCGGTGCCCAGAGGCCTGGGTTCGAGGCCGGCCTCCCAGGGCGACCAGCTGCTTCTGGATGACAGAGTCAGTGTCCTCCTCAGCGTGATGGGGACGGACCCCCCGTGGGTGGGGGCAGCCGGGACGCGAGTGGCCTTGCAGACTCAGGTGTGGCTCTGACTGGTGGCCTGCCTTCCCCGGCCCCTCTCAAAGCCTGCTCACACGAGGGGGGGGGTCTCTGGCCGCTGCGGCCTCCAGCAGGGTTTCTCGGCCTCCACCTGCTGCTGACGTTTGGGGCTGGGTAGTTGTTTGTTGCGGGGGGCTGTCCTGTAGCACCCTCTCCCTGTCGTGACAACCCAAAATGCCTGCAGATGTTGTCGGTGTCCTCTGGGGGGAGCCATCCCCAGGTGGGACCCCCTCCCCTGCAGTCCCTGCCTCCCCCACCCCAGCCCCGTCCTCCCTTGGGCAGAGGGACGAGAGCTGCTCCGGGTCCACTGCCCACTCTCCCGCGGGAGCCTCCTTCAGCCTGTCCTCGAGGACCTGTCTGTTCATCTGAACTGGTTTCTAACGAGACAAGTGACATTTGAGCACTTGGTCCTTGCAAAACAGCCCAGCATTCCCGACGAAGCCGAGGGGCCTTTGACCACCGTCCACGGGGATGTGAGGTCCCTGCCGGGTGACCACGCTGTCCCCCGTCCCGGAGCTGCCTCCGTGTCGTCCCCATAGCTGCCTCCGTGTCGTCCCCATAGCTCTGCCTGGTTCCTCAGACGCGCTGCCCCAGCAGGGATGTGGGATTAGGGTCGCGTTCGGCCTGGGCTGTCCTGGTGTTGCTGTCACTGTCCCAGCACGGTGGCCGTGCATGTTCCTCCGGGGGCATGCATGTGTGTGATTCCCCAGGGCCACCTCTGCCTCCTGGGGCGAGGACTTGGGGTTCTGAACGGCCCCCGCCAGGTTGCCTTTGGCTGAGGCGGACGCCCCACGGGTGGTGTTCTGAGCCCTTCCCTCCCCCTCCGTCGTGGCTCCATCTGGTGGTGACATGAGGCGCCTCAGCCGGTTTTAGTTTATTTATTTATTCTTTTTTTGAGACAGAGTCTCACTGTGTTGCCCGGGCTAGAGTGCCGTGGCGTCATCCTAGCTCACAGCAACCTCAGACTCCTGGGCTCAAGCGATCCTCCTGCCTCAGCCTCCCAAGTAGCTGGGACTACAGGCATGTGCCACTGTGCCCGGCGGTTTTTTTTTTCTATATATTTTTAGCTGTCCAATTAATTTCTTTCTTTTTTTTTGGTAGAGACGGGGTCTTGCTATGTTGCCCAGTCTGGTCTCGAACTCCTGAGCTCAAACGATCCTCCCGCCTCGGCCTCCCAGAGTGCTGGGATCACAGGCGTGAGCCACCGCGCCCGGCCTCTTTCTCCACTTTTAACATTTTTTTTTCCCCTGTTCCTTGGTGCCACCTAGGACTTCCCCGTCGTCATGAACTCAGATCGTCACACTCTTTTCGGACAAAAGTTTTGAGGCCCTGCCCTTGTCTCCCACCGTGACCCCGACCGACAGAGGGTTCTGTGCGGGGATTAAATCAAATTATACTTGTGAAGTCGCACGGCAGTGCCCGGGCCAGCAGGGTGCCCGAGCAGTGGACGGATAAATGTCCGATAAACACAGCGAAGAGGGATATCACAAGCTCCCCGCAGGCAGGGGCGCGGGTCACCTGGGCAGCCACTCACCCTACAGGTTCCTTCCTGGTCAAGGTGAGGTTGCGGTTGGGCCTGGCCTGGTTGATGGGGATGGTGGAGCCCTAGAAGAGGCACAGAGAGGGTCGCTGGAGGAGGCCCGGGGCCCAGGGAGGTGTCCTCACTCCTGGACTGTGATCCCAGGTAGGAATGACAGGGGGCGCCTAGGGAGTCCAGGGAGAAGCAGACGGGTCGCCAGGAGGGGCACAGAGAGCCTGCGGGGCAGAGCCCTGGGGCAGGAAGCTGGTCCCGCTGGGGACTGGGCTGCCCCCGAGCTCTAAGCAGCTGGGCCAGCCTCCTCCCTAGACCGCCACCTCCTGCCGGGAGACCCTGCGAGCCGTGCAAGGCTGGGCCTCCTCCCTGGAGACCCCCAGACCTCCACACCAGACTCCTGGGGCCTGGGAACGCGGCGATCTCTCCCTCCCCGGAAGATGTCGTACGTCCCACTGACCTTAGGATCGGGGATGAGGCACGTGGGCCTAGAATAACCGCAGGGCCCCCCAGAAAAGCAGACTGCTTTCTCCAGTTAGTGGCAAAGGACAGTCAGAGGGATTCCAAACCCGAGGAAGACAAGTTTCGCCAGGAGATGGGGAGAACTGGGCAGGGGCCGGGGAGAGGCCTGCAGCCGGGAAGGAGCTGGGCCCTCAGTCCTGCAACTGCGGGAAACTGAACCCTGTCAGCACCCGAATGGACCTGCGGGTAGGTTCTGGCCCAGAGCTTCCGGAGAAGGCCCAGCCTGTGAGACCCTGGCAGGGAACCAAGCCGAGGCCACCCAGAATTCCCACCCGCACGATCTCGAGTGCACGAACGGGAGTTGTTCTAAGCCACTCTCGGTGGAGGTCGAAGCCGCCCCCCTCGGGCCCGGCCTGCCCGTGTGGGCTCCGGCAGTGGGCGGGACCCCAGGCCCCACCTGGATCTTTTTTTTTGAGACAGAGTCTCACTGTGTCGCCCGGGCTAGAGTGCCGTGGCGTCAGCCTCGCTCACAGCAACCTCCAACTCCTGGGCTCAAGCGATCCTCCTGCCTCAGCCTCCCGAGTAGCTGGGACTACAGGCATGCGCCACCATGCCCGGCTAACTTTTTCTATATATTTTTAGTTGTCCAATTAATTTCTTTCTATTTTTAGTAGAGATGGGGTCTCGCTATGTTGTCCAGGCTGGCCTCGAACTCCTGAGCTCAAACAATCTGCCCGCCTCGGCCTCCCAGAGAGCTGGGATTACAGGCGTGAGCGGCCGCGCCCGGCCTCCCACCTGGATCTTGTCGCACCAGCCGGCGAAGTAGCGGAAGGTCTGGATGGACATGCCCACGTGCGTCTTCAGGGCCAGCGTGTAGACGGCGCCGGCGTCCAGGGCCTCGATGGTGGCCAGTTCCTCCTGGTGCTGCTCCATGAGGTCCGCCAACCTGCAAAGGGACGGGGTGGGGGTGGGGGGCTCAGGCCTGGCACAGCCGTGGCTGCCTCAGTTTCCTCATCTGAACTGCGGGACGATAAGATTGATTTGACCGGACGGGCATGTCCCTGTCTCCTCGCCTCTCCTCTTCCCATCCTTCCTTCCTATGTACATCTGTCTTTTTTTTTTTTTTTTGAGACAGAGTCTCACTGTGTTGCCCAGGCTGGAGTGCCATGGCGTCAGCCTCGCTCACAGCAACCTCCAACTCCTGGGCTCAAGCGATTCTCCTGCCTCAGCCTCCCAAGTAGCTGGGACTACAGGCATGCGCCACCATGCCCGGCTAATTTTTTTTCTATATATTTTTAGTTGTCCAGCTAATTTCTTTCTAATTTTAGTAGACACGGGGTCTCGCTCTTGCTCAGGCTGGTTTCAAACTCCTGAGCTCAAACAATCCACCTGCCTCGGCCTCCCAGAGAGCTAGAATTACAGGCATGAGCCACCGTGCCCGGCCCAGACTCAGTCTTACAGACAGAGCAACTCGAGTCCGAAGCAAGGCCTGCCGGCCCTTTCCCCCCTGCTCCTTCCTGTCCACAGAGGCCCTAATGCACCCCAAGCCTGCTCCCGTCCTCATCTACCCACACTCTCCAGGACCCCCGGCAGCTGCCCACCACACGCAGGATGCAGCCACAACACTCTGCCTGCTTGACTGATCTCAGGGCTTCATTCATTCATTCATTACCAGGTACTCAGGTAAGTGAGGCCTCCTGCCCTAGGACTTTCGGGGGGCCTAACACGCATCTCCCCACACTCCCATTTCTCCTCCTGACCTTCTGCAGCTCTTAGACCTGGACTCAAAAGTCACACTCCCCCAAAAGCCAACCAAGCAGTGACAACACCATCTCACGGCAGTTAAGGGACTAGGGTTCCATCAGCTGCGGGACAGATGAACTCACTTTCTGTTGCACAAATGTTGCTCCAAAGTCTGCCCGCACCAAACTCAAATTCTTTTTCGCACACCTAACTATCTCTAAAACAGCCCAAACACATTTTTAGCCGTTTAGAGCCTGCTTAGTTTGCATACCCCGGGAACCGCACCCAACAGTTGTTCCGGCTGCTCCCCGGATGCCCCAGAGGCTCCCTCTTGCCCGCCGGGCACGTAACTTTCTCTAACTGTCCCTTTTGGGTCCTTCTTCCTGCCTTCTCTCACAACAGGATAAGGTCTTATTCCTGCAATGTGTGCTGTGCTCCATAATACCCATAGTGGTCCCAGGGCCCTGACTGAACCAGGGCGCTCTGCAGCCGTTTCTCCGGGAGATCCCGTCCCGCCCTCTCCCGGGGCACCTGGACCAGCCTCTGTTTTACTGAGCTGGGCGGAGGCAGCGGTGGGAGCAGCCCCTCCAGGGGACTGGGAGTTGGCCCAGGGCAGGACCTGGTCACCAGGGGCCGAGGTGTCTGCCCACCTGCTGGGTTGGAGTATCGTGGGTTGGTAGGTGCTGTTGCGACATATGCCACCAGAGGGCAGCAGAGCACCCCGGGAAAGGACCTCTTCCACTTGCAGGAGCTCAAGGTCACGGCCAGCACCGTGGGTCTACCAGACACGCAGGACGCTCGCGGCGGCTCCAGGCCCATTGGCGCAGCCCCCAGCTCCGGCATGCACATCCCGGGGTCACGCCTGACCTCCAGGAGCTCTAGGGACTGTCAGGCACCAGCCGATGCCTTCCTAGAATCAGTGGGCTCTCCGGGGGTCTGGAGCCTGGGGCAGGCTGAGCCCGCAGCCCCCACAGCCCTGGCCCGCCCCGGCCCCGTGGTGTCTATTCCGTGTGCAAACTACCCAGGCCCCTGGCTCCGGGTCCCTGCGGCTGCAGCCCTGGTGTTTCTGGCCTCAGAAAGAAAAGCCATTCTGACCGCAAAGCCCAGGCGGGAGTTCTCCTGCCAGGCTGGGGCTGGTTCCGCACCCTCCAGACCCTCCCCAGGGCCCTGGGGGTAAAAGCCGGGTCCCCGAGACTGGCTCAGCGGGCCTCCCGGACACGGCGAGGCTCACCTGCCCAGCGCCCCGCTTCTGGAAACATCTCCCACCTCTTTGGGGTGACTGCTCCCTTCCCCAGGACCCTGCAGGTCTCTGGGTGCAGCACCTCCCTTCCGGGCCTCCCTGTCACCCGGAGGGCACAAGCTAGAGTCGTAATCAGAAGTCCTTCCCTGAGACTTCTGAACTGGGACAGAGGGGAGAAGGTCCCTTCCTCCCTGATTTAAAAATAAGAAAGGCAGGTAGGCAGGAAAGAGAAAAGAAAGGGAGGGGGGAGAGGGAGGGGAGGGGAGGGG